TTTTATTCGAATTTGAATGATTATTTTATCAATTTAATGAATGGTATGGATTGAAAGAAGTGAAATAAAATGAATAAACTTCATCTATTCATCTGTATGTGTGCATAAAGTTCATTGAACTTTATTTGATTTCATTTAAAAATGATTTTAAATTGAAATGAATGAGCGATAAGTATAAGGGCATTTCATTTTTTTTTTTTCCATTTAATCAAATTTCACATGAATGGAATTTTTTTTTTTTTTTTAAATTAACCAAATAATCTGATAATGAATATTCATCCCAGGACTATTTTTTTTTTTGGTTTTAAATTCAATGATGAAAGAATATGTTCAATGATAAAGTTAAAGGTTTAATATTGCAAAGATTTGTGTCGTTAAACTTTCCATGCAAAAAATTATAAATGTTAATAATTTTGATTGGATTAATTACTTTAACTGTAAAAAAAACTAGAAATATTTTTCTATTTTCTATAATTAAAGTAACTGATCGAATACTTTACTATGGGCAAAACATTTCTATTTATCTCAATTATTAAAATAACAATTAATATTTTTTAATTAAAGCTACCATGATGTATTTATACATTCCATATAATGATATTGTTAGCAATTGAAAATAAAACTATACTACAAACCCAACAATCAGCCGATCAACCAATCAATCAATCAATCAATCAATCGATTGATCAATCATATTAATACTTTAAATATGTATTTAAAGAATTTAAGAATTGAATTATTAAGTGATAATAGTGGATTAAGTAACCATTTTCTACTGTAACTTGAACTTTTAACATTGTATTATATGGTTAGAAAAGTTAGTATAATGATAATTGATGATAAGAACTGGTTAAATGAGAAACATTGCTAGTAAATAATAGTAATAGTAATAGGTTAAAATTGTATATTTGAATATTTGAAAAATTGATTCCATTTTATTATCCCCTCTTTTCATTTGTTTTCAACTTTTTCTTTTCCTTCTCTTTCTCCCTCTCTCTTCATCTCTTCCCCTCATTTTTTCTTTTTTTTTCTCTAATCCAAGAAAACTTATTTTCAGTTAGTTTATGTACAAATTTTCAAAAGCATATTTCTAATAATTTAAAAATCACTGGAAACAACATTTTCTCTTTTTTCTCTCTTCCTCTTCCTTCCTCTTCTTCTCCTTCCCTCTCTCATTCTTTCCTTTTCTCTCCTTCTCTTTCCTTCTAATTTTTTTTTTTCTTCCACCTCAAAATTTTATTATTAAATGGTAAAAGACAAAAAGAAATAAAAAGGAATGAGAGAGAGAGAGAGAAAAAAATTTCATTTCAAACAAACTGTAATCATTAATTGCACCATTTATTGCTGTTACAATCTATCAGCTAAAATTAAATGTAAATTTTTAAATTTACTTTTTTTTTCTTTCCTTTATACTACTTTTTTCTTCGTAACATTTTTGGAATATCATTTTTATTTTTATTTTAAAAATTTACAGTAATCTTACATTTGTTTAATTAAAGTATTCAAATAAAATTAAAAAAGAAAAAAAAAAGATTAGTAAACAATATCATAAAGTTTTTTACATAATTAGGCCAATTAATTTTCAAGTTTTATTAATATTTAATTAAAAGATAATTATAAAATTATGAAAAAAAGTGCAAAAAAAAACAATGTGAAATTATTAAAGTCTTTTGAAATTCCATAAAGAATTCTTTTTCATGAATAGCTTAATAATTTATCACTTATGGATAAAATGCATTACTGATTACTTCATTCAATACCATTTGAATTTTTTCACATTACTATTAACAACATTTATTTTTCATGCACTTATTACTTCAAAATAATTGATTCATTTTGAAATTACATCAAATTCTATGCACATATTTTTAGGGGGTAAAAAAGTCATATAATCAAGCGCATAATGTTTTTAACAATTAATCAAAATTTTAAGAATTAATCAGTATTTTGTTATTTTGATATTATTTATTTTTTCAACCGTTTTATTATTATTATTATTATTATTATTATTATTATTATTATTATTATTATTATTATTATTATTATTATTATTATTATTATTATTATTATTATTATTATTATTATTATTATTATTATTATTATTATTATTATTAT